GATATATATCGCAAAATCGATATTATTACACAGCCCTACTAGACACACCTGGACAGTCAGCATTGTCCTGTCTGGAGAGTGTCTTACCTGAGCCAGGTGTTGTTCTGTGGCTCTGCCCCTTTCAGATCCAGGTGCTGCTGACCATCAGCTCAGAGGTGACTCACCTGGACGAGGGTGTGGTCCTGCAGGGCTGGCTGCAGGTGGACATGCATCCCTTCATCACCTGCCTGCTGTCCATCATCCTGGACTGGAAAGACATGTACACCGACTTCCTGCTGGAGTCGGCCACCAACAGGTGAGCTCACCTGAGGCCAGGTCAGTTCTGGTCGGTTCTGGTGGTTGCTGACCCCACCGCCTCTGTGTCCAGCCTCCAGCAGGCGACCCGACCCCAAGACCGAGGCTCCGCCTCCTTCGACCTGACGGACACCATCCTGCTGCTGGAGGTCGCCGGGGTGGAGCTGCCTGAACACCTGGCCGCCAAGCTGCAGGTAGTGACATCACAGCTGCTTGGCGCTCTGCAGGAACAGAACCGCTTCTGGAGCACATTGACAGGGTGGGAGGGGAATGGGGCCATCACAGCGCCACTAGTGGTAGTGATGGGAACAACAGTTCATTTGAGTCACTGAATCAGTTCATTAACCCGTCTGTCACTAGAGGACCCAAATTTGGGTCCTCTAGTGACAGGGGTGTCAAACTCCAGTCCTCAAGGGCCGCTGTCCTGCAACTTTTAGATGTGCCTCTGCTGCACCACACCTGAAAAGAATAATTAGGTCATTAGCAAGGCTCAGGAGAACCGATCTACACAGGGAGGAGGTAATTAAGCCATTTCATTCCACTGTTTTTTACCTGTGGCACATCTAAACACTGCAGGACAGCAGAGGACTGGAGTTTGACACCCCTGTCATTGTGAATGACAACCTGAGACCAACAGGTTAAAGTGATCCGTTCAGCGGAACGCAGTTATAATAAGAACAATAATGAATTTAATTTGTAACAAAAATCTCAAAGTGCTGCAAATGTAATCACAGAGTAACAATCAAAGCACAACGTAAAAATCTAACAGAGCAGCGCCTCTTCCAGGATGTTGGATCACGTAACTGGGGGACTCCAGCTGATTTTTCTTTTTTTCCCAGTTCTGACTACAACTGAAACGCAGCGAATATCCTCGTTAAAATAATCAACCCGTCATCTTGATCAGCTTCATCTGAACCCAGTAGAACCCGGAGCTCCAGCCGGCTGGTCTCCATCAGCTGCTTCCTGTCTAACATCCTCTTCCTGTCTCTTCCAGTGAGCGACGCTCTGTAGCGCCTGACGTTCCCGCAGCAGCCACCAGGGGGCGACGCAGAGACTCAATAAAAACACAAACATGAACCTGGTCTCTGTTTACCTCTGCAGACCGGACTGGGGTGGAGGAGCAGCAACACTGGTTGTACTGGGAACCAGTACAAACTTTAGAACCAGTGGAACCAATAAAACCAGTAGAACCGGGTCGGTATTCAGAGTCGAACTCAGCAGATAAATTAGTGATTTATTCTGGATTAGAGCAGACAGGAGGAACTGAGGCACAGTGATGAGAAGTTACAGAGAAACGTCAGCTAAAAAAATAAAGATCAGAGTCCTTGTCGCGCTCCACGTCTCCATGGCAACAGAATGTGCAGGTCCACAGCGGCGGGCCAATCAGAGAGCGGCTAGCGGCGGTAGACGCCAAAGGCCACCAGGCTGAGGAAGATGGTGATGCCGACCAGCGAGGCGGTGGCCGGCGCCGTGAAGAACTGCCGGTATTGGATCTGACAGTACCACAGCACGGACAGCATCAGAACCAGTAGCGGGACCATCAGGCTGCCCACGTTCAGCGCCACCTGGACCTGGTCAGCGGGCCGCGGGCCCCCAGCCGCCCCTGCCGCCGCGCTCTGGGAGATGTGGCAGTGCAGGACGCAGTTAT